TAGGGAAGTACTTATGATTAAGACTGGTGACATCTCTGGAGCTTGTATTCTCCTGGAGAGAGATGTACAAGCAACAAGAAAACAGTTAAATATGATCAAAAGTATACTAGAGCATGTATTAAGTCCTATAAACAAAATAAATAGGGTGAAACGAGAGAGAAGATCTGTAGGTGCTAAATTTTAGGGGGTTCAAGGAGGGCCTTATTAGGTGAAATCTGATCTGAAACTTGGACACGCAGAGAACTCGAGGACAAGAATTCCAGGCAAAGGGCAAATGCAAAGGCCCTGTGGTAGCAGCACTATGATCTGTTTGATGAATAGGAGCAAGACCTAGTGGGGCTGCAAGGCAGTGCACTCTGAGAAGGATGCTACAGACAGGGCAGTGAGGAAGGCAGGAGCCACACCACGGCTCAGAGCCATGGCAAGAGGTCTTGCTTTTTTTTTTCTTTTATTTATTTCTAAATTAATTTATTTATTTGTTTTTATTTTTGGCCGTGTTGGGTCTTCGTTGCTGCGCACAGGCTTTCTCTAGGTGTGGCGAGCGGGGGCCACTCTCTGTTGCGGTGCGCGGGCTTCTCATTGCGGTGGCTTCTCTTGTTGCGGACCACTGGCACTGGGCGCACGGGCTTCAGCAGTTGTGGCTCATGGGCTCTAGGCGCGCAGGCTCAGTAGTTGTGGCTCACGGGCTCTAGGCGCACAGGCTCAGTAGTTGTGGCGCACGGGCTTAGTTGCTCCACCGCATGTGGGATCTTCCTAGACCAGGGCTCAAATCCATGTCCCTTGCATCTGCAGGCAAATTCTCAACCACTGCACCACCAGGGAAGCCCGAGGTCTTGCTTTTATTTTAAGAGCAATGGGAAGCTGCTGAAGCAGTTGGATTTATATCTAACAATGATGGTTTGGGCTCCTGTTTGAAGAATGGGGTGTGCGTGTGTGTGTGTGTGTGTGTGTGTGTGTGAGTGTGTGTGTGTCAGGGAGAGTGCCAAGAGTGGAAGCAGGGAGATGAGGCTGGAGGTTGCTGAGCAGCAACAACCCAGGTAAGAAACGATGACGGGCCCAAGCCCATGGTAGTCCTGGAGGCAGAGAAGAGTGACAAATGCAAGATATATTTGGAGGAAAATGCAGCTTGCTAAGAGAAAAAGGTGAGGGTAGGAGAGACAGGCATGCAGTTTTCTGAAGTTAGGTGCCATTTAATGGAGTGGGGTCCAGTTCTCCTTTGAGCATTAGGCTAGAGATGGCCGGTGGGACATCTCCCTGAAAAGGTCAAGTAGACAGATGGAGCGAGGTGTTTGGAGCCCAGGGGAGAGGTCTTAGCTAGAGATGCAAATTTAGGAGTCGATATTCTGCACTATTCCTAGCAGACCATCCAGGCACACATTTGGTGATTAATAAATGCTTATGTGACGACTGATTGATAATTGACAGAAAGGGCAAGTGAGAATTTTGCATACCGGAAGATGTTCTGAATCTCTTGGCACGGAGCGCTCGGGAAATGCCGGTAGAGAAGAGTGCCAGGTGCCGTAGCTGCTCAGTAAATATTAATTTACCACGATGAATCTCAAGAAAGCCATGGACTATTATTTCAGTAACTGACCCTCCCTGGCTTCACTGGCGCCAGAGCCGTTGTTCAGCCACTTGTTCCTTCTGTTCCTCACCCTCAGCATCTTTTTACATGGCAGCTTAATCCCTGACCCAGGAATCGTGCCTGGTTCTTCATCACTGCCTTTTTGGCCCTCACATCCAGAGAATACTGTCATTGCTGTGACTCTGTCCCTAATGACTGTCTCAGAACTTGCTCTCCATAGATTTCTGAATCTGCCATGAGTCATCAACAGTGAGTACCTCTGATGTGCCAGGCACCATTCTAGACACTTGACACATAGATCCCACTTATAACACCCTGCGCAGTAGCTGTCGGCCCTGGGGGGTAGACCTTAATCCCCCTGAGAGAGTAAGTGCTTGGTTCCAAGTCAGGTAGCCGGAAAGTGGTAGAACAAGGATGCAAAACAAGCCCAGCTGACTCTGCAGCCGGGCTTCCCTTCCTGGGTTTGCAAAACTCACTGGATTTCACCTGCTGAATCAGTCTGTACCCTCGATTGCCTAGTTCTCCAACAAAGTCCATTAGGCGGTTGGTATCCGTCGAGAGCCACCAAGCATTCAAGTCAGGTTGGCCTGTGTCTGTACACTTGAACGACAGTGTTCCATGACTGTAACTGCAGACTCACTTGGTGCTCTAATGTGGGATGTATCACTTTCAGTGGGAGGACCCGAACCTGAGAGAGGCCCATAGCCTGGGAGGTTATTAGTCATCAGAGAAACAAAAGAGATGGAGCGTGCTGGAGCAACACAGCGGGGCAGGCTTGCCAGGGACAAGGTGGCTGAGAGGAGAGGGGCTGGAGACGAAGAAGGAGGGCAGCAAGGCTGTGTGTAAAGTAAAGTGAGGACTCAATGGCTAGCTGAGGGATGAGACGGCAAAGACACCGAAAAAATCATAACTCACTGTTCAAAAGAAATAGCCTGATGGCCTCATGTAAATATGTTAATAAAGCTTCAGTCTTTCTGGCCACACACTCAAACTGAAAGGCTTCTTCATTAGGCATATCCCCGAGCACGCAGGTGTGCTATAAGGCACAGAGCCGTTTGCTAAAACACCCTCTGCAGCAGGAGTGGTCTCACCCGCAACCACTCCTTCACCAGAAGGAGGCCAAGTGCTGGGAGGCCGAGCAGTGTGGGCAGGAATTATTTGCACAGGAGGACAAAGGGCCCTGAAGCTACCCTGGCTGGCGCTCGCCTCGGCAGCACCTGTTCCTTCAGCACACTCGGCCCTGTATCACCTGACATCTGCCTGGCTGGATGGCCCCATGCTGCCTGCTGAGGAAATGGAGTTGATGAATGTCCATTTTGTGTTAGGTTTCCTGGTAGAAATGAGATATGGAATTCCTAGAGGCAAGTTACCTAGGAATCCAGCATCCACCAGGCATAACTTATTAATGAATCAGATTGATAAAGGTCAAAATGTGAAAAGCTTGGTTTAAAAGACTAGAAAGAAGGATGAAAAAAGCTGTGCACACGCCATGTCCTTCAGTCATAGCAGATGGTGGTGGCTTGCAGCTCACAGCTCTGCTTTGCTAAGGCCTCTGGGGCACTTCCTCCTGATGCAAGTGTGACATTAAAGAGATAGGCTGTGGACCCTCAGCCCATAGGATGTCTGAAGAGTTTCAGAGGAACCCTGTGAAGAGGCTTCATGAAGCTAATCTGAATCTACCCATCTCCACTGCTAACATTCCACCTGGCTTAAGAGGACAACGGACATAGTTCCAAGGATTTTGAGAAACAAAGAGGTGCTCGGACTCTTTCTCTCTCTCTCGCTCTCTCTCTCTCTTTCTGTTTCTCTCTCTCTCTCTCTCTTTTACACCCACCCATAGATAACATCTTAAATATATCTTTAATTACATACAATTAATATGAAACTCAAAGCACCAATAGCCAAGTTCTTTGCTGTATTCCCAACACCTAGATCTAAGTCAGAACAGAGCAGTTTCTCTCTCTAGCTATATATTATATACATATAAAATAAATGAACAAATGAATATTTACTATATCCCCTTGGGTTTCAAGTTCTAGTGCCCAACCTTACCAGTAGACTTTTTATTAATACCCCTAGGAAGAGACTTTAGTTGTATTTTAATTTTACAAACATTCTTTTCATGGAGACATTTAAACTCCTCTAACTCCCTACACATGGTTATATTTTTCCTGATGGCAAAATACTAAACGTAAAGTAGGACTGAAAGAATTTTTAACAACTTGTTTCTTATTTCTCACCCAAAATACCCTAATTAAAGCATCTCATTAAAAATTTTGTATTTATCCTATATTTCTCTTACTTGGATATTATTTAATAACCAAAAGACAAGTCAGCAGGGTTAGTGATGGAACAAAATCGTACCACCAAATAAAGATTTGACCTCATCCTGGATTTTTCCTTACAGAGCAAATATTTTCTCTTCTCAGGCTATATTTCTGGGATGAGAATGTCCACTCTATTAAAATTCAGATTACTTGATGAACTTCAGTGCCCTTCAACGGAAGTAAAATTTCACACAGAAACACTTATTAAACAGTGGTAAGTTGGCTCTGGGTGTGGGTACATATGTAGCTAAGTCTTTGAGACAGATTCAAAACCAGATCTGGTCAGTCTGCCAGAAAGTACTGATGTTCGAGGAAAAATCTCAAGATTGTTGGAATTAGAGCCTTTCCCTCTTATAAGGCAGATGTGACACTTTAAAAGAAATCTGCTATTCTGTATTTAATTGAAGTCATAATAACAAAAATAGTCAAGGACCCATGGACCTTTGTTTGAAGGATATTGGTCTGGCTGTTAAAGCACCTAGTCAGCATAAAAATAGAAAACAGAGCCTTAGTCCTGTCTTTCAAATCTTGCTGGCATCCCGGATGATAAGAGAACTGATGAGTAAAGGAGGGCTAGGGAAAGTTCTGTGCCTGGTAAGCATTTTTATGAGTCAATATATTTTTAAGCTTATCTCCAAGAATAAAAACCCAGCCACTTTTCTCGTAGGGATTTTTTTTTAATATGACAAAATGTAAAGGTTTGCTAAGTATGGGTGTTGAGAGTATCCAGATATTTATCATTCTCTGCATTTTCTCTTTTGGAAGCATTTCATAATAAAAAAGTGATAAAAGTATCAAAACTGCAGGAACAAAGAAAACAACCAGAACACACATTTTGGAGAGTTTACAAAGGATGCTTAATTTGCCTCTGTAGTAGTGAAAAATGTAAGACTTCTGATTCCAAGTTAGTATTTTTCAAATAATACCTGATTTCAAAATATAGATTATTTAGATGTTAAATTTGGTGACACTTTAACAAACATTAAACGAAATCAACTCCCAGGAAATCTGAAGGTCCTCCAATATGAACAAAGTGCTGACCATTCATCATATTTAACGAGGTGTATTGGAAATAGCTGAGTACTGACCTCCCCAGGGCAAATGATCCTCTTGGGACGAGGGGCCTCTTGCTGTAACTGATATACTGCCAAATATAAAAAGAGAGAATTATAATTAAAGAGCATTAGCACATACCAACATGTCTTCAAACAGTTCCACCTAACCACCTTTCAAGAACTGCAAATTTCTCAACCAAGAAACAAAGGAGATGCAGACACATTTTTAGACTAAATAAAGGCAGATCATTTAAATGGAAATTAGTCACAATGAATATAAATGGGCAAAATTGATTTTTTAAAATTCTTATAAGGACAATTTAGTGTCATAATTGTTACTGGCATTGTTCATGTTATGGCTTTCTTGGAAGACTAGATAGGACTAAAATTCTTTCGACAATTTTAAAGATGAAATTGTACTTGTGAGTACCTCGGTAGTAAGATCACGTAATAGGATTCCTGAATCTCAATGCTGATGTTTCTTGACATACCAGGGAAAGACTGGCATTAGAAGAGGAGTGGCATTCTCTGAAATGTTACAGTTATGGACAGAGACACAGCTGATTCTGTGAGTGAATGAAGCCCCAACTCATTTCTCTTTTCACAAGTTCCATTTTTGCCCTGTCCATCACCACGGATACTTATCTACTTGACTATTTCCCACCCACTGTCATTCCTTTTGCTTGGGCCCTTTAGTATCTTAAATAATAATAACTCTCTTATATCCTGGTTTTTTTTTTTTTTTTTTTTTATATATTCTGTTTTAAAGACAGACTTTCAGGCTTGGGCATGGAGGAAAGCAGGTAACTGTATACAAAAATGTAATTTATCAGAATATTATTTGTAATTTTTCAGACTATAATGAGTGATTTTCTGCTGCTCAGTTAGTTTGATTACTTCTCTTAGAGGAAAAGCTACTCTACGCAGGTACCTTGGGATTCTACTTCCATGGAAATAGAGGTTGAAAATAAACCTCCTTGATATTATCTTCAGAATCTTGAAGAGGGAATAATTAATGTCAAATAAATCTATGAATCATATCATAGAATACATCTATGAAAAGTTAAAAACTAGATCACATAAAGTCTTCTAGAAAATGTAATAAGAGAAGCAAAAACTTCTGGCTTATTCTTAGGTCTAAAAATTAAAAGAAGAAATTTTAATTGAAGGGCAGATGGTCATATGGAAACAGAGGTGGAAATGATGGGATATATTTTGTACCTATGGCTCCCCAATGCCTTCAGCTCAACATGGTTATTTTCTTACCTAATTAAGGGTAGATGACTCAGCTTCCTAACAGAGAAGAAACCATCTAACCCTCATATGGATGTTTTAACGTGTCGCATTTCTAAGCTTAGGTTGCCCACACTAATGATGATGCCTGTGTCACTTAAGGACAACTGTAGCCATGTATCAGAGACAGGTCAGAGAAGGCTCCTTGTGCAGGAGGAAACATGAGGAAGAATTGGCTAAAAATAGAGAAATAGTTTTGGACATTCCACTGACTCTCCCACTAGAGCCCATGCTCTCCTTAAATCACGACAGAGTCTGCATGGAATCCTGTATTCCTCTCGAATGAGCTACAACACCAACTAACTGCTTTTCAGCAGGGTTTTGCTGTTAATGAGTATAAAGGGAACCAAAGGGGGCATCTCCTAGAGTCACAGAGCTTTAGAGCAATTGCAGAACCCACATCCAGAGAATCTTATCCTCTCTTCTCTTCCCATTGTCAATGCCCTCGGAAGCCAGCAGTTATATGTGGGGGGCATGGCTGGAACAGTTTTGTGAACACCGTTTTTAATGCTTCCCTCGAAGGCGGCAAAGGAAGTACAGCTGTTATGAGAGAAGCATTTTAAGCTAAGCGCACCTTTGCAATTCATATCGGCAAATATTTGAACATCTGCCGTAGAACAGATACCACAGTCAGCATTATGTGGAGGCTGTGAGGATGGAGGGGAAGAGAGAAGAGAAGGGAACCAGCATATCGAGTACCTGTCATGTGGCAGGGACAATGTCTTATTGAACCTTCACAAGAGCTCCGAGGACAGAATGTATCATTACCATTCTCATATTTTATATGAGGAAATAAGTGCCCAGAAGTGAAATATTTGCCCCAGACCAACCAGCTAAAATGTATCCTTTCGATTCCAAAGCCCAGGTTTATTTTTCTATGCCTCAGGGCCTTTGCACTTGCTGTGCCCTCCACCTGGATTGCACTTTCCCAAGATGTTTAGATGGCACTCCTCCCCCTTCATTCAGGTCTTCCCTGACTTGCCCGACTTGGTATAAAATTCCATCCCATCACTCCGCTACCTTTACACCATTTCATGTTTCTTCACAGTACTCATCACCATTAACACGCTGTATTTGTTTATTTTGTGTGCTGTCTCCCTTGACTAATGTGTAGGCTCTTTGGGGGCAGGGACTTTGTTCTGTCCATGGTGGGACGCTTAGCACCTAGAACAGTGCTTGGCACATAGTAGATGCTTAATGCATATTTGTATGCATTGACTCATGGGTCACAAGCCATTCCTTCAAGGACACTGATCCAGTGACGGAGATACATGTGGAGAAACAAAACCAGGAAGGGCCAAGTGCTTTAATTAAGGGCAGAGGAGGAAGCAGTTCTTTTTACTCAGGTGGTCAGGATGGCTTCCTGAGGGGAGAAGCATGGAGCTCTTCTTGAAGAGTTAGCAGGGTTTCCATAGGTAGAGAAAAGAGAGGAGGGTACAGATAGAGGAAAGAGCCCCAGCAGTAAAAGGGAATGACGTGCTGATTGGTCAGTGAGAGTCCAGTGTGCTGTTGCCCCAGGGTGGGCAGATGTGGGAGGAGGCCATGTGGGACTGAACCTTGAAGGTCATGGTAGGAAGCACGGACGTTCTTCTGTCAGTAGCGGGGGGACAGTGACGTGTTTTGAGCAGGGAGGTGACATGATCTGGTCTGTTTCAGAATAATGACAATAAGGATAAGACTGTTCAGAAAAATCAAGTTCTCATTTTCTGGAGACCTACTGTGTGCCAGACACCTTATCTACATTTCCTCATTTACTCCTCCCAACAAACCTCCAAGGTAACTGTTCTTCTCCACCTCAGTGACAAAGCAGTGGAGACGTCAAGCTGTGAAGGAGCTCAAGGTCACGCAGATAATATGATGAAATCAAGATTTAAGGCCTGATTTCCAGGTCCGAAGGTCTATATTTTTCAGCCTCACCAGTGGCCCCTAAGGCAGATGGTGGAGAGGTCCCAAGTGGGGCTGCTTGCATTAGAATCTTCGAAGAGCTAAAATATAAATTATACAATTATAAAATACAGATTCTCAGACACCATCGTCTCTGGCGATGCTCACTCTGCCAGCCTGGCAAGGGGCCCCGAAATATGTTCTTTTTAAAGGTCTTCGGGAGATTCCAACACACAGTCAGGAGTGGGGGCCACTGCCCTTTGCTTCACTGAAGGAAGGATCGGAGGGGGATCCTTCGAGGCAGGGAAGCAAAAGAGAACTGTTAGTTGTACGTAAAGGAGATCCTGAAAGTACGAGTTAGGACAACACTAAGAGGAGGTGAGTTGATTGCAGAGGGGGGTGGCCAGGGCTGGATTACAAATTGAATGGAGGAAAGGGCCTTGAATGCTTGAAAGACTGAGACGCCATTAACAATCACAGAGGTTACAGGAGAAGGAATGTAAGGGACAGTTCTTCTCCTGTGTCAACAGGCTAAAGCCCTTAGCTGTATCCTCTGAGTAAAGAGATACATGGTCATTCACCAGTCTTACAACTGGAAACTTTGGTGGGGGGGGTCCCTGAAAAACCCTCAAGCCAGGGGTGCCACCTCTCCTTGCTGGTCTCTGGGCAGCACACATCATTAATCAATCATTATTTTTCAGTGAGCAGGTCTCAGGATCTACAAAATCTGCTCAGTGCTGTTCCAAGCAATAGAAATGACGAAGCCTGTTTGCCATCTGAATAATATGTCTCTATAAAGATAATGAGATGACAACCGATTGCCATGGCAGCCACAGAAAAAAATGGGGCCCTAGACTCTATCTCAGCTTCAGCCCCAGTCCCTCATTTTCAAGGTTGGCTATAACGAAACAAACATCCATGAGGCCCATTTAATAGAACTGAAACATGTCACATAATCTTGAAAATGTCGTTTCTTGAATTTTCTTTGTTCAACAAACCCACGTCACAAGCAAAATGCAATAACACATGGCACTGCTTGGGTGATTCTGTGCGCTAAGGGGCGAGATGACAGACTGTGCTTCTGCAATGCTCCACATCTGTCCCAGGCACTCCCCAGCCCTGGGTCCTTGCAACACAAGAGAGAATTCTTATTCTGGAATAAGCTGTTAGGCAGGGGGATGGGGTGGGGATGGTCACTAGGGAACGTGGAGGTAAGAGAAGGGGATCCCCTGCTCCCCAGGAAACCTGAAGCAGATTGAGAAATCAAGAGCTCACTGAGAGAGTGTTTTATTTTTTTCTTCAGTAAGAAAACTCGGCTCATCCTCTGGTAACACAACCCCATGGAGGCCAAGTGAAAGCCCTGGCCTGGGTGATGCTAAGCCCAGTCCAAACCCGTCAGCTACTAAGAGACCCTGCAGGGATGTCCTCTAACAGCCACTTATCACTTAAGAGGGCATGTGGATCCAGGAGCCGAACCTGGCCACTTGGCTGTGATACTGACCCAGCACCACCCCGCTCACTGCCCATGTCTTCCCAGTTTTCATGGGAAAAAACTCACGGGTGTGAGTAGGAAATAGCAGGGGCTTTCAATGGCCTCTAGGCTGAGCCCCACTTCCAGGCAGCTGTGTGCAGGCCTTGTCTTGCTCACAGAATGTCCAGTTTTACTGGGGAGGGAGTTCTCCTCTTGTCCCATGGCACAGTGAAAGCCTGAGGATGAGGCTGTGTAGACTTGAACCAGGGGGTCTCAGGCCTAAGTGTGTATAAGAAGCACCTGTGGGGTGTGAGAAATTGCAGATCCCCCCACTCTTGCAATTCAGAAATCTGGCGTCGGGCTGAGGTTATTAATAATATTTATTAATAATTAATAAATAATAAATTTATTAATAATAGTTATTATAACTATTCTCCCCAGGTGACTCTGATGCAGGGGGCCTATGGATCAGAATTCTGAGGTTCTAAACTCCTCCTTAGAAAAACAGGCACAAGCTGTGACTGCCTGACCTGCTGCCCAGGAGAGTCTCTGGGGAGAGATGTTGGCCACAGCATCTGCTGCTTAATTGGCACTTGGCCTGTTAAACAATAAAATCTTTCAGAGTGTACCCATGGTGGTTGGCTTTTAAACTCATCTGCTTAGTTCATAGTTCTGGCTTAAAGTTTAGAATGTGGCTTTACTTTATTTTTAAAGTAAACTTGAAAATAGCTTTTTTTTAAGAATTGAAACCAAATACTTCTCAGTGATTTCACCAGTGTTTTGGGGTTTGGTCTTGAGTATTAAGGACTAGATGTAGATATATGATACTTTGGGACAAGATTATTCTTACCAAATAATCAGCTCAGGAAGTGATAGCATTAGCTTCTAAGAAAGAAAGGGGAGCAGGACAGGCAGGAACTTAAGGGACTTCATGTGGCATCACTGTTCTTTGAGTCAAGATGGATCTTATCCATCCTTGCGGTCCCACAGCTCAAAGCACACTGCCTGGTCCAAGGCAAAGACTTAATATACATTTGTTGAATGAATGAATGAATAAATTAATAAGCAATCTACTTTACAGAAAGTATTTAGAGAGTTGATTTCTAAGGTTCCTTATTCTTCTAAATTTCTAAATCAGACATTCGTTGGTTGCCTTCTAGGCATCCATTTCCATCTTCCCCATTTTAACGGTACTCCAAAGCTTCCAGTCACTCCTGTGTAATCCCTCCTGAGTTCCAGTGGTGAGCCCTGATGGGTTTAGGGCAGTTAGTATATCTCAACTCTCTGACCACAGTGATGGAGTCAGGGTTGGGAACCCATGTCAAATAGGGCTGAGACTCAATTCTAAGACTTCTGCTTGCAGTAGACTGTCCTTCTGCCTGTTGCTCTTAAATGTGGATGTGGTAGCCCTGGTGCTATTGGTAGCTCTCTGGGGGTTCCAAGAGAAAAGCCTACTAACAGTGGAGACAAACCTAGGAAAGTAGAGCCGAGAAAGCAAGAGGTACACATTGGGTTCTAGTAATGTCATTTGAGTTGCTGGACCAAGTCATGCCTGAAGCCAGTGCCTCTAGACTTTTTGCTTATGTCAATCAATGCGCTTGAGAGGAATATTCTGTTACTTGCACCTAAGAGCATTGCAATTAGCATTAAAATTTAAAAACAGCTTCTTAAAGTGGATCATTATGAGGCAGACTAATTTTCTTTTAGGAATAACGTTACAATTGGGACTAAGGCTTCATAATAAGAATCTGATATCAAATAAGTCAATATTAACAGCCAACAATAGGTGATGGATGAAAGCAAAGACATACCTATATACTCCTATAATCATTGTAAACCATCAGTTTTCAAACCAAGTCCTATAATATGGCAAAAATGAACTGCATCTGGTAAATGTATGAGAAATTTCCAAGTACCGAATAAACGCCAGAGCTAGAAAATTAAGTGTGTGATGGGCAAGTATGGATTCCATAGATGGTATGTTAATGAGTTTGACATCAACAAGTAAAATTAATCTCTGAAAGTATGGTCTGTGAGTATTTCAAACAGAAACAACTTGGTGATTCCTGAGGTTCAGAATGGGTTTACCAACAGGTTATTTAAAAACAAACAAATTTCATATTCTGATAGGTTTGTTGGATTTTCAGATAAGGAAAATACTATTGTTTTAACATACTTGGATATTAACATGTATCTCATGAAGTTCTTCAAGACCCTCGGATTTCTTCTCCTTATTTATCCTTCAAGACCCACATGCAAATTTAACCTCTTTTATAAAGTCTTCTCTAATCCCAGGAGGTAGAGGAGCAGCATATTGTTGCTTCAGTCCATCTGCATGTTAATTGGTTACATCTGTCTCCCTTTCTCGACTGTAAATTGGAGGAAAGTATGGGCCACATTTTAGCTGCTGTTGATTCCTAAAGCTTATCCTAATGCTTATAATGTATGTCTGCTGAAAGACCAAATGAGTAGATGATAAACTTGGGAATAAGAGGGAGTAGCATGAGCTTGGTAATGATATTGTTAGATGAGTTTATAGTAGTCCAACACCCTAACTCAAAGAATTAATGGACTCAGGACAACCAAAAGAGAGTGCTTTCTCAGTAGTACCCTGTGGATCTTCGATCAACCTGTTTTTGATGCCGTGGATGGCCCTGCTGTTGGCATACTCCCTTCAGTTGTAGAGTTCTGCATCACTAGAGACCCTCAAATACAGCCTGGATGACTATTAGTTGAGTATAATAAAGAGGAACTTCATATATGTCATTAGGTTTGTATTAAATGGACTCAACTATCCCTTCTGCATCTAAAGTTTTATGATCCTAGAGCAAATTAAGCACACGCACACACACAACTTGCTTAGATCAAAAAATCAAACTTAAAACCAATATACTCTGGTAAAATTGATATTGGAACATGTAATTAACAACACCTTTTCTGGTTTCCTTAGGACATAAAAGTGCTTTTAAGGGATACACTGGGTGGCCCAAGGTCTCTTAGCAAAAAGTGAAATGAATTTGAGCCAGTGCCATCTTCTCGCTTCAGTAAAGCTCTCTGCAGTGGCATTCACTCAACAAATATTTATTGCGTAGTTAACGTATGCAAGGCTGTGTGTAAGGCAGTGTGCAAGGAACAGTGAGTCATGGGACCCCCAATACCCTCACTACAAATATTTCGTTGATTTACTGTCAGAGCGCTTCACACTCCATTAGGAAACAAACAAACAAAAACATCCAATTACTTAGTCATTAGCATTGCCTTTTAAAACGGAAGATCAGAATGCATAACATTAGACTGGAAGGGCCCTTAGAGACCCAGCACCACCCCTTTATTTCACAGATGGAAGAACAGACTCATGTAATAAAGAATGAGGTGCCTCTCTATATGCTGAAATAGGAAGATAAAAACAAGGTATTTGCGAAGTGAAACAAGCAAGTTGAAGGACACCGGGTACAGCATAAACCCATTTTTACAAAAGGGAACAACAACAAACTATTAGGCATGTGTATTTTAAACACTTGGAAAGATATGCTTTCCAAAATTGACAGGGTCAGTGACTGGAAAAGAGGAGTGGAATACGGGGTGAGAGCTGGTATGTGGCCTATGGGAAATTTTTGCTCCCAGCTTTATGTATTTCTCTAATGTTCGTCTTTTATGTAGCTCTGTATTGCTTTTGTAACAAATACGTACATACACAGGTATATGCATATGTGTGTCTGTGTGTATGTATATACTTATCTATATACTTATGTATACAATTTTAGAAAGAAAAAGAAAAAAAGATTGGCAAATTGCAGCCTGTCCGTCTGGCTTGCTTCTGGGCTCCACTCTGAATGCCACTCCAAGGTTTCTCATAAAACCTCTGCCAAGTTACTGAACCCCTCTGAGCTGTGGTTTCTTTGTACGTGAAACAGGGATAAGGGTGGTACTGGTCGCTTAGGGCTGTGGTGCGATTTACGACTTGAGGCACAGAGCTAGCGTGCTGGCTGGCACACTCCAGGTCTCAACAGGCGGTAGAAACAAGGGCAACGTCAATAATGATAGAAATAATTATTCTAATTATTGCTGTCTAGAAGCAGAGACTGAATGAGAGCCTGTTCCCCTGGCTCTCAGCACAGTGGGCTCCCCACACCACACTCCTCCCTTCTGTCACTGGAGAATTACTTAGTCAGGCGGATGATACTAAGGAAACAGAAAACCACCTTGAGGTGATGACAAGCGCCTGCCTTCATGAGGGGAGACGGATTGATGATCGATGATCAGATAATGATCTCTGTTTCTAAGGAGTCACCCTTAGTGACCAAACATTATCCATTGCTATCTGTTAATTTTTCTGTGGTAAATGTCATTTGATATTACAGCTTTAAGATGAACAGCCAGGAACATAATTCATGGAAGTCAACACACTTACCCTCGCTGACCAACTGTGAATAAAAAAGAGGAAGGAAGGATGGAAAGAAGGAAGGAAGGAAGACAAGGAAAGTCCCAAAGAAAGGTAGAGAGTCAGAATGTCCATCTTTTTTTTCCCTAAGCATTTCCCTAAGCGGGTCACAGGCAGCTGGCTCTCCGAGGTCCTGGCCAGGGGACAGGGCTCTTCCAGTTCTCTCTGACCAATATCTTTCCTTAGCAGAGAAACAGAGATTTGGGTTTGCAGTGCTGTGATGCGAGAGTTTGTGTGCACTAAATCAGCAGCAAAAATTGTTCAAAAGGCAGGCCGGGGGCTTCCCTGGTGGCGCAGCGGTTGGGAGTCCGCCTGCCGATGCAGGGGACGCGGGTTCGTGCCCTGGTCCGGGAGGATCCCACATGTGGAGCGGCTGGGCTGCTGAGCCTGCGCGTCCAGAGCCTGCGCGTCCGGAGCCTGTGCTCCGCAATGGGAGAGGCCACAGCTGTGAGAGGCCCGCGTAACGCAAAAAAAAAAAAAAAAAAAAGGCAGGCCGACTAAAGACTTCCGAGGAGATTATGATTTTAGGTACTCACAGTAGGATTTCCATATTGGAGGCTGGTATTCTTCAGCATCTAGAATAAAACGAAAGAAAGCAATCCGTCAGCTTGAACATCAAACTGTCAACTTGTGTCTTCTCTGGAGGAACAACTGTCTGTCAGCAGTACTTGCTTTCTGGTCCTGGGGGCCTCTCAGCTCATTTACGGGACAGTTCCAGGCATGAGGGGGGAAGTGTATACGGCAACCCTTGTGGATCCAACACCACTTTCTTCATGTCACTTACCATGACAGAATCAATTGCTTAACCATTTTCATAGAGCCCAGTAAATCAAAAAAGATTTTTAAAGCAATTAACTTGATTGTACCCTCCAGTAATCCTTTCAAATAGTATTTACTTAACTTGGCATAATAAACATATAATTTATCTCACAGATTCCAGTCAGACCTTTAGCCCATTTATCAAGACTCGAGGGCAAGACACAAAGTGGCAAGTACGTAATATTAAATCTGTTGAAGTTGTACAACTCAACCAACTGAACTCCTAGGTCTGACAGCTGAGACACTGATGATTCAATTGGAATCGCATTATATCCTTGAATTTACTCCAGTTTGTGACTTAGGAAATTTCCAGAAAACCTCTCAGCAATCAGTGTCAGAGTGAAAGAGTTACAACAAAATGGAGAGGACGAAATTGTTATTCATCAATCCAGAAAGCAGACGATGGAGAAAATCTGCTTGTTCAGTCAACTCAACAATCCCAGTGCTGACAGCTGAACTTATAATTTTGACGGAGTTATTAGAGTCCTCCTGAGCTCATAGCTAAGGTCTTGGTAAAACATACTCTAGCTTAAGCAGCCAGAGGGAAAAATCCTTTTCCCCGACTCATAGAATGTTAAGCTGGGGAAGCTTTAAGAGTTCTCTAATTCAGTGCTTTCTGATAAGGAAACTCTGTTTTCGTCATCCTGCACGTCTATGGCATCCCACACCCATCCTTATGCTGCCTTTGTCCTTGTGCTACTGTCACACTACTTTCATGCAAAGGAACAGAAATTTTCTAATCTCATGCAGTAAGATAGTTTGAGAATTCTTCCCCTCCTGAGAAACAAATATACTTACTGTAAATAAAAAGTAACTCAAGAGTGGTGAACTTCCCCAAATCCTACTCAATTACAGTTATGTAGCTTAAATTAAGTTCTTTCACAATTCATACTTGCTTTCTGGGGCCCATCCTATCACAGAGGCAACGAAACACCTCCTAAGATAGTTTCATACAGATGCGTCTGGATTCTTAGGCTTGCATCGTCAGGAACCTACCTACAGATCACCAGCCACATAGGCACACACACAAATACAGTGGACTAATAATGGTTTATGCTGTTATTCAAGCCTAGTTTGCTAAATAACAGTGAAGCTCTTAATTCTTTTGTCAAAGTAGACAATGGAATAGTGAGCTTTTAACCTAAAGAAGCAATTAATTTCATCTTATATGTGACACAGACCAATTTTAATGGGTTAAGATGAGTGTTTGTTTATAATAACATTCAAATAAAATAAATCATGTTGCCGAGTTTACAACAAAATTCTAGAACCATCCATACAATACCATCTCACCAGAAAAACCAGGTCATGAATGTTAAAATATTGATGACACCTTCAAAAATATTTTTCAAATATAAAGATTAATATGGATGCGTGCGCGTGCGCGT